ATGCTTTTCACCAGATTTTTTTTTTGTAATTGACTTTCATTTTTAACCTGTTCCTGGACGTTTGGAAGCCTAAGGTCTGGTGCCTTTGAGAGAAAATTTAATCTCCTTTCACACCTGATTGTTTCTTAATTTGGCTTGCAAGCATAAAATCCAATACAGTAAAATTAATTTTGCATGCTGCAAAATCTGAAGCACGTGGGAGCTAGAAGGGGAAGGGGAGGATGAAAGATAGGTGATTTTTTTAAATCGAGTTTGCAAAAAGCCAGAGTTTTTGGAAGAGAAAGTTCAAGATCTTTATACTTCCACTTTACAAGCTTCATAATAACTTCATCGCCTTGAAAGTTATCTAGACTTAAACTATGGGTTATAATCTCCCCAGGGGGTCTTGATCAAACGGGAAGGATTATCTTGCAAATGCAAAGTGAGTGAATTTGTCATTTGGAATCAATTTTTGGACCTGGCTAAATTTGCAGATCCAGCAATTTGTCAAAAAATGACAGCAGTTTTTTATTAGCTTTATTCATGGCGGAGGGTCACACAAGTATGTGAGGAATGCATCATCCCCATGGTAGTTATTAATTTTACTGTTGGAAGGAGAGGGAGAAGTTAAAATATCTGATGTTTTTCAGTGGGACTACAGCCTTTTTGGAAATGGAATGGGATTTCAAGTAGGGAATGAATGTATCAGAAATTCTTTTTTTTCAAAAACTGTTATTCTAGATCCAGTCTTTATGCTATGATTGTCTATTTCATGTACATGTTAGAACTAACTTTTGAAAGAAAAAAAAAAGCCTGTTGTTTCCCAGAGTTGGCTATGTATTTGACCTGGAGAAAGAATCCCTGTTTGTTAATTATGCATAATTAATTTTTATCCCACTTTTCCTTCTAAAATTTTATCGCCACAACTACAACCCCAGCCCTTTAAAATATGTGGGACTGGAAAAGAGTGTCTGACCAAAAGTTCACTTAGGGACTTTCGGCCCTGATAATCCAAATCCACGAATGCTACACTACTTATGATAGTGTCCTACACCCACCTAAAAAGTTGTAATGATTTTAATGGGATTTGGATCAAAAGATCATCTTCTGTGCTCCTGCCCATCTGGGTTAGACAACAACTTTACCCTACGATCTGGTGCTGCTGTCTCCTTCTTCCAACTTTAAGGCTAATATTAGTACTGACCTTTTCTGCCAAGGTTTTTTTTTTTGGAAAGACTTCCTGGATTGTTTTGCCTCCAGCTCAGCAACAATTATTAATCACACCATGACTGGAAACCTGACCCCCTAAAAAAAGTTCTTGCCGTAGTGACAAGGCAGTCCTTCCAATGCTATGGCTTCTAGAAAACAAACGGGATTGATCAGCTATGGAGGAAAAACCTACCAAAATCCCAGGTACGGTTTTTTAAATTGATAGTGCTGGTAACTAGAAAACTAGAGGGACAGTAGAAGTTGTACTTTAAGGAGTTAAGGAACAGACCCCATTTGTGGCAAACATGGCATGACATAGCTCCTGTCACCTTGTTGTCTGGATGTTGGTTTATGATTCCTGCTGGGAAATACCCAAGAGTGTGCTGCACAGAACAGTACCCTTCCCCGTTTTTTCTCCGTCCATCAGCTCAGCCCGATCTAGCTTTCCCAGCTTCCTGGCCTAGAATGTTGGCAGGTGAAAAGTGGAGACGTTGATGCCCAGGATTTGCTCTGCAATATATAAAGCTTGGGTTGAAATTGTTTATGAAAGGGTTACCTATGTTAAATGGGGGTAGACACTGAGTACATATTGAGCAACTTGCTGCAAAGCTTGCATAAGAAGACATACAAATATAGCCAAACAATATGATGAATAAAGTTTGATTCATTTTTATCTTTAAATGGTTCTTTACCTAATTTATTCCATGTCACTAAACTTATCTAATGTTGCTCTTTACCTCCATGTGATGTCTCTGTAGTAAAAGTCCACTTTTTTCCCCTTGTTTTAATCATTAGGTTTATATGCAGGGGTGGGATTCTACCGGTTCTGTCCATCTCTGTAGAACTGGTTGTTCTGAAGAGCAGCAGACATAGAACCGGTTCTATGTCTGCTGCTGTTTTGGCCCACCCGCTTGCCTGGGCTCTTACCTGTCCTTTATTTCTTGCTTTTTTCAACCTCAGCTGCTTTGTGCAGCACAGCTACAGTTGAAAAAGCAGGAAAAAAGGGCTTTTCCAACCTGCACGCAGCACTGCTCAGCTGTCCGGGCAGCTCAGCAGGTTGTAAATTGCACTCCTGCGACTCGTGCGACTCCCACGACTCGTGTGACTCCCGCATGCACACATGACACAAAGCAACAGAACCGGTAGTTACACCGGTCGGATCCCATCCTGTTTATATGCCAGATTTCTTTCAGGATTTGGCAGTGGTATACATAAAATCCCTCCTCCTTCTTTCCAACAACAGCCCTACAAGGTAGTTTGGACTAAAAGAAAGTGATAGGCCCAAAGTCACCCAGTGGCTATGGATAGATATGAATGTGACTTTCGGTTCCCAGTCCTACAACTTAAAGACTATCCCATTGTTGGTCATCTAATCTAGTCATTGGTCTTCTAATGTATTTTTTTTTCTTTGAAAGGTCTGCAACATGATGCTATTTTTTCTTCTAATAAAATGGGTATGGTAGCTATTATTGAAGTATAACTTCTGATTTTTTATTATAGTCAGAACCCCCAAAGTAATAATAATTTAATTATCTCCTATCTTTCGTCAGTCCCAGGGCATTCCCAGAGACATATAAAGTCTGACTTTTTAAAAAATGCATTGGATTGTGCTTACTTCAGTGTAACACTCTTCTAATGTATATTCAAACAATTTATTAAAGATTTATATATGTAAAAAAACATTATAATAGAAGAAAGTGGTTTTCTTTTGATCTTGATCAACTGGTGCTAGCTACTGCTTCATGCTCAAAGAAAGGACATATCAGTGTCTGGATCCCATCAAGATTTTAAATGCTAAATTTCCTAATATAATGGCAAACTGAAAGGAGTTTTTAAGCTGATCACAGACAGAACAACTCTTTGGGTAATCTTTGGGAAATCAGGTCTTATATCTGTTCAGAATCAGAACCAGACATTTGAATTCTCAACCAGGTTCAAGATATAATCCACCTAGAAAGTCTTATGCACAAGTTCCCGTCTTTTGAATCAGATTTATAAAGCACTACTTTCCACTGAACTATTTTCTTTGTTCTGAGAAATATTATTTTGTGACTTATTTGCCCAAGCACCTTCTCAGTTTATGATGAGAAAAAGTTGGCTTTAATCCAAGAACATTTTAAAACGTCAGTCATTTCAGATCACATTCTTAAAGTGAAACAGAATAATATCATTGCTCTTTTGTTGGTTTTGTGGTTTGAATTTTATTATTTGGGGATAGATGGGGTTGTTTTTTCAAAATTCCTACTATTTAAGTACTGTTAAATATTAATGAGTATCTTGAAGGATGAGGGGCTTTGATCTCTTATCTCAGCTCTTGCTTATTTATCTTCTTCAGTATTGCTCAAAGAATGCCAGCAAAGCCACATACGTTCTCATAGTGGTAGTTTAAACTGTATGTCCTAGACCAGAAGTGTCAAACTCGAGGCCTGTGGGCCAGATCTGGCCCGTGGGTCTGCCCTGGAAACAGCAACAATCCAGCCCACAGTGCCTCTGCCAGCGAAAACAGAGCTCGGGAGGACTGCGTGTAGCCCTCGTGAGCTCCATTTTCAGTCGCAATGACCTGTAGCCCTCTGCCAGCAAAAATGGAGCTTGGGGGGGGGGGCTCTGTTTTCACTGGCAGAGGGCTGCAGGAGGCCATCACAGCTGAAAACAAAGCTCAAAAGCCCATCTTTGCTGGCAGAGCACTTGGGCCACAGGTGCCCCCCCCAACATGAGTGACGTCAAACTGGCCATGCCCCCCTGGCCACGCCCCCCCCAGCCCCCCCAAGGTCAAACAACCCTGATGCGGCCCTCAATGAAATCGAGTTTGACACCCCTGTGCTTGACCCACTGAAGGAAATCTGAAAGTTGTAATTATCCCATAAAACACGAGACTTGAATATCACTGTTTAGAATTCTTAGGTCCACTGCTAGCCTGAAGCTCTGTATTCTTCGGGAATTCTAGTTTGTGGCTGATTCCTTAGTAAACACCAGTAATACCAGCATTTTGTTTGGCTCATGAACTATTATAGATCAAAGCCATACCCAGGGCAGGTTGGGTCCTTGACACCAGTTTCAGTAGTAGTTCAGGATCATTTCTTCCAGCCATGATCTCTGGCAAGCACTGAAAACAAAATAATGGGGCTTTGGAATTCTCCATGGTAATAACCATGTTACAGAGAACTCAAACCTGTGCAAATTCTTGCATTTCTCTGCTTTCATTTATAAGAAATGCAAAGTTCTAGCTCAGGTGGCTTTAAAGACAAAAAAACATTAAGAAAAATGACAAAAATATTGAAAACAGAAGAATCCACTTTCTAGGTAGGAAGAATTGGATTTCTTCATTTAAGATTAAATATCATCCAAGCCTCTGTCTTTACCTCTATTTCTGATTCTTATTCACTTACTTCTTACTGAAAATATAGGGGTAACGTATGCATACAGTATGTCAAATAAATAAATAACAGTGTATACCGATACATTATCTAACTAAATTCAACTGCAGGGTTTAATTTAGAGAAACTGAACCTTCTAGGGAACTGGAAGCAAGAAATAAGACCCGCGGTCTCTGATGTTGAAAGAAAGACCCCCTTGGATATCAGCTGAAAATAAAAATCTGGATTACAAAAGGCTAAGAAATGAAACACGGTGTCTTTTTCAATGTCTGTGTGTCACCAGGACCTTTCTCTCCCTAATAACAAAGTATATTTGTCCAGAAGTGAGCTGCAGGTTATCTGTAGTGTATACAAAGATGGGAGTTCAACGACCGCTCGGAACCTACCTTTCATGCATATGCAAACACATGATCAGCCATAGCTGAGCCTTCAGGAAGAGCCAGACAGTCCAGTTCTGCAAGCCAGGAAGACGGTTGTCAGGATGTCTGGAGAGTTTGGGGAGCTCACACAGACTCCCCTCCAGAAAGTATGGATTCCCCGCACCAGCAGGCGTCTGCAGCAACGCAGGGGATGTGAGTTGGGATGAAAAAGTGGGTCAGTTCTTTCCCTGGAGGAAAAGCTAAGCTCTCTTTCCATGGCAGGAGGTTAGAAAAGGGAAGGGCAAGGCAGGGCAGAACCAAATCTTCAGAAGCCATGTTCTTGCAGGGATAATACAGTATACGGAAGCTATAGGAAGATGAGGGCTAAAGCAAACAGTGGCTAGTGCCAAGGCCAGAAGTGGGAAGGAGGACATTTTGTCTCTGACACCCCCTTTTTATTTCTCTTTCTAATACTCTTTCCCTCTCTCTCCAAAGCAGGAAGCTTGATCTCTTGCTGAGGAGTTTTGTAATTAGCCAGAGGGCTGTATGCAACCCTAAGGAGAGTACCACAAGTACTCTCTAAGCCCAACTTGCTCTGACAATAATCATTTACGATGAGGGAAGTTCATTACGTTTAAACATCTTCAAGTCTGGTCTCTGAGCTCAATCTTCCTGAGAGGGAGAGACTCTAATCTTCCCAATCATCTGTTCCCCAGCCTGTGTATGGATTTCAACTTCCAGAATTCACCATAATGGTCATGCTGGTCTGCAAATTAATGACGGTGGATCCAGACTTCACCAAAGTGGAAAAGATCTAGGTTAACTGTTACCTATCCCACAATAGTCTGCTGAGGTATAGGTTTTACTCAAAGACTCTATTGGTTGCTTTAGGATTCAGAATTTTAATGCTAAACCAGAAAAAACGTTGGGTGTATTAGACAGAATACCATTTCTCTCTGTTTGTGGGTTCCTGAATCTCATCACAAAATTAGGCTCAGCCTCCACTCCTTTTTCCATTTCTCTTCAGCCTCAGTGCCACAGTTCACCAATTCACCAACTATGGTGATCATGGTAGGATTGCCAGCACGGGGAAAAACTTACATCTCTAAAAAGCTCACTCGCTACCTCAACTGGATTGGGATCCCCACTAAAGGTAAGGAAGGGAATAAATGATTCATTCAAGGTGGATGGAATCAAAGGGCAGAGGGAGAACCACTTAAGCCAACAGAGAAGGACTTACTTAAAAATATCGAGCCATCCTAGTCTCCATCTCCCTAGTGTTCAATGTTGGACAGTATCGCCGTGAAGCCGTCCAGACATACAAGAATTATGAGTTCTTCCGCCCAGACAATGAGGAAGCTATGCAGATCCGGAGGTGAGGAGCTTATTCAGATCTGACTGGTAGAGTGGAGAAGACAGAGGAGGTTGTTTCCTACCCCAATGCCCAGCGTAGTCTGCCAGGATGCCCTCCCACATCCTAGTTTGACTTAAGTTGGGGAAAGGGGCAACAAATAAGAAACTTTCAGATACAATCGTTTTTGTGTTCTGAAAATGTTTCTGTGGCATATATGGAATCCAGGAGCATTCTTGGAAATAACCATTATGCTTGATTGTAGCATTTTCCAATATTCTACCTTCCCATTTAATGTTTTCGTAAAAAAAAAATAGAGCCTTTAAAGCAATCATGGGACATATGAGTCTGATGCCCAATTGAGTTGCCTCCTCACATTGGCCCCCTGCATGACCTTTGGGGACCAGGATATATGGGTTTTGGCAAGACCACATTTTTGGTTTTTGTAAACATGGCTGAAATAATAACAAAGTGCTTAGATTTATATACCACTTCGCACTGCTTTACAGCCCTCTCTAAGCGGTCTACAGAGTCAGCTATTGCCCCCAACAATCTGGGCCTTCATTTTACAGACCTGGGAAGGATGGAAGGCTGAGTCAATCTTGAGCCTAGTGTGATTTGAACTGCCAATTTGCAGTCGGCCGGCAGTCAGCAGACATAGACTGCAGTACTGCATTCTAACCACTGCGCCACCACGGCTCTAATAACGCACATGAAACCTTCTTTAATGCAAAAATAATGTTTCAAAGATTAAACATGTGAAGCATAATTTGATTGATTGATGATGTGCCAGCGAGTTGGTGTTGACTATTAGCTGGAACATAGATTGGTTTCTCCATGACAATCTGACCCTAACTTGACCTTTCAGGTCTTCAACCTGTGCATTAATTGCCACAGTAAATGAGGCCATTCATCTTGATGATGGTTGTTCATTTCATCTTTTTCCTTCTTCCTTTTCTAGCATAAGAACCTTCTCCAGAGAGCTAGGTCTTCACATAATATCCACAGTAGGATCATTTGAGCCTGGCGGTTTGGGCCTTGAGTGAGAATTCTGGGTTGATTGATTTGTTTGTTCCATTTGTTTGTTTGGTTGGCTGTCCACAGGATTTTCAGCAGTCTTCTCCAATACCACCCATTCTCTTTCTAGCCTACCTCCTAAAACTTCAAGTAGGTAGCTTGGTTAGCTAGAAAGACACTTTGCCTCTACCATATTCCTATATGCTTTTCTTTTGTTAATGTGTTGGTTGGTTGTTATTTATTTATTTTGGTGCTGCCACAGCAATGGATCATAATGTGTTATCTCTTTCTTACCATTTCTTTTAGACAGTGTGCATTAGCAGCTCTTCGGGATGTCAGAATCTATCTGACTTTGGAAGAGGGACAAGTGGCGGTAAGGTGGCAAAAGCCCATGTGGATCTAACCCTGTTGTCACCTATTTCAGGCTGCGTGCCAATTCAGTTGCCTTGTCTTCTCCATTACATAGGTTTTTGATGCCACTAACACTACACAGGAACGCCGTGCCCTTATCTTGCAGTTTGCCAAGGAGAATGGCTACAAAGTAAGTGGAAGAAATAAAGACCCCACAATGGGGTGTTACCTAGAGCTGCAAATTTGCAAAGGGTTGAGTGAAAACCCTTAGAGATCCTCAAGGTTACATTTTTTTTAAATGAAAGAAAGAAGTTAAGAAGTTATAGAAAGAAGTTATAGAAAGAAGTTAAGTATATGACTGGAAAGTAATCAAATTAATGTTTAATCAAATCAATGTTAGTTCTTGTCCTGATCTCACCTTGTACTTTTGAAGTCTGGACTTTGTCACACTATTCAGTTGCAAGGCTGGGTTTCTGACCTATTCTACAGTCTTTGCCACAAAGCAAATTGAAAATACAGACTGAATTAAGCAAACTGGGTTTTTGTTTTTTCTTTTATTTACTTACCTTTATTTAATTTGCTTCCTACTTTCACTTACAATGCAGAAGAAGCAAAGTTCAAAATCCTGTTACATTCATCAACCATTACAAGCCATTAAGATATTAAAAAACAAGTAACATCAGAATTTTTTATTCTAGAATACCTACTAAGACAATACAGTTCAGTTCTTAAAGCAAATTAATCAGTCCTAATTGTCAGTTAGGTGACAATTTTGGCTGTGATTAGATGAGAAAGATTTTTTTTAAAATAATTTCATTCAAAGTTCTTTTTAAAGAAACAAGACAATGCAAATTAAACTCAGAAAGGAAAAGAAAAGAAAAGAAAGAATAAAAAGCGCAAGAAAACAGAAAAAAGAAAGAGAAAAGAAAAACATTTCAAGAAGTGACCTCTGATCTTCATTACAATGAGTACAAACACCATTCATCCTCTATAAGATTGCATGCAAATATATCTTCTTCCCATTACCATTACTCCTTATCTAGACACAAATCCATAAATCATTTAACATTTCAGTTCTGGTGTTGGCCAAAGTCCACAAAAGGTTCCAAGCATTTTATAGAAACATGTCTTATTTTAATTGTGGTCAAACAAACCAACTTTGTACTCCTTCCATTTGCTTCTAGGAATCTTAATCTTTAATTCATTCAGATGTTATTACAGGATTTGCTCTGTCTTCAGATTTTATTTTTCCCACCTCGAAAGCTACTTCAAGGCTTACATCCCTTTTGTAAATCTAATAAGGAGGCATTGTCCAAGTCATTCTTTTCACATCATTTGTATTTCCACTTTAACTATCATCTCTGCTTTATAATCCATATATTTTTCATTTTCCAGTATTTCAATAACTTCTTTATATTGTAATATTTCTGCCTCAGATGAGACTTGTTTTAGCTCTTTGGCCCATAGATTTTCCAAGGTATTCTCTTTCATAACTGTCATTTCCTTTTAAATATATTTTTTAACATAATCTAGACATAGAAGCAGACATCACTGCTGACACTGTAGCTCCCAGTTTCTGTCCTGATTCTTCAAATGTCTCCTGGAGTATTTCAAATGGCATACCATGATCTGTCATTTTGTCTCAATGCTGATGAAAAGCAAGCCTGCATCTTCATTGTTTTTTTATGCCTAGAATATTTAGCCCCTTCTAGTATCCAATTTCTGAAAACATAAAGCCTCAAATTTTTATTATGATTTAAGGTAAGCTAAATAATTTAGTTCCCATGAAGATGCTTTTTATATAATTATTTTCAAAATCTTACAACAAAAGCCCTAGTATTTCAAAGTTGTCTGTTCTCTGAATTCATTTATAACTTTCTTGAACTAAATTGAATTTAATTTGGAATTAAAATCTTCTTTAGCTTTGGCAATTTGCTTCAAATTCTTTAGATTCTTAAGCTTATACTGCAAGTTATTTTTTTCTTTTATTCCAATATAAATGTAAACTCACCAGGTTTACTCCCCATTTTTAGTTAGGGAAGGAAGGACAAAAATACATCCTTCTCCCCCAATATGGGTCATTTCCTAGATACTTCAGTTTGCCTGTTGCCCTAGTAATTTGGAATTCACAAAAATAAGGTCATGCAGGGCGTGCATAAGCGCAGAAACGTGCCTACTGTCCCTGTCCTATTGTTTCTTTTTATTTTTCTTATATGTATCCATTTCATGTATTCATAATTATGTTTATACATACCTATTATCTTGTAAGCGAATGACAAATCAAATAAATAAAATAAATAACCTGACCCTTTAAATCATGGATTATATTAAAATGCTAATACGAGATGTCACATCTGGAAGATTCCCAGTAGGGCTGTTGTTTTTTCTTAGCTAAATTTGCAGGTTGCATATAGATTAGGCATCAATCCGCCATGTGGATTCACTTGCCTTTCTCCCCATTACCACCATGTCTCAATCTGCCAGCAGGTTCTGAAGGCTTACATAAAAATACAACACCTGAAAAATTTGTATAATTGAAGAAAATGCTTCTGTCAGGAGCAATTATTGTGATTTCATATTCTTTCCACTCTGAAAATAATTGTTTTCACCAGTTGTAATAGCTGCTTGGTGGCTGACTGCATAATCTTTTTTTCTCTCTTTCTGTGACCCCCCCCCCTCATCTGCCACCAAAGGTTTTCTTCATTGAATCCATCTGTGATGATCCAGACATCATCGAGGAAAATATCAAGGTAAAACTCTTTTCTGTGCCTTTTGTCAGATATTTTGGTAATGTTTAAAGTCTGGAAAAGCACTAAATCCAGATATAAAATTTATATCTGTCCATGTTCAGGGGCATTCATTTGCATAGTTCAAAGGGATGGGACTTAGCCATTGTAAAATTCATTCTGGTTTGGTGCAAAGGTTTTGGGTGGTATTCGAAAGTAAACTGACAACCAGCTATTAACAACTAATAATGGGGCTCCTTTAGGACAGGGGTTTAGTACCATTCTGGAATAGTGCTACTGTGAAATAATAATATTGTATTCCAGAAAAGTGTCACATCTGTGGTAAAAAGCAACCTGAAATAACAGCTGATAAGTGCATGAAAAGGAGAGAAAGCTAGATAGTGAATAACTGCATTTATTTCATTCATTTATTCATTTTATTATAGTTGCCCACTCCAACGGATTCTGAGTGGCTGACAGAATCAAATACAAGATAAAACAATTGAAAACATAAACAACACAAGAGCCTGGAAAACAGTACAATAGCTTCCTCCCCCCAAAGATTAAGTCCAGGCCTGGGACCTAAGCCAGGTTTTAAGGACACTTGGAAACCCTAGGACAGTTGAGCATCATCCATATCTCTGGGGGAATGCTGTTCCAGAGGGTGTGGCTGTGAGGGAGAAGCCATACTTGCTAGGTCCCACAGGTTGGCCGCATTTCATGTAAGGGACCTGAAGTGCCCCCACTCAGTCCAAATGTATTGGGAAGGCAGAAACAGTGGGAGGGAGGTAGTTCCTCAGGTAACCAAGCCCTGTGACATGAAGGGCTTGAAAAGTAACAACCAGCACCTTGAATTGCACCCAGAAACCAACTGGTAGCCAACACAGTGGTGACATGTGGCCACAATGAGAAGTTACGGCTCATGCTGCTGCATTTTGAAGCAGCTGAGCTTCCGAATGGTCTTTAAGGGCAGCGCTATATGGAATACATTGTAGTAGTCCAGTCTGCAGGGCCTCCTGGTTGAAGAAAACAATATACACAATATACCTGTGGAAAGGCCTTCCTGGCCACAGCTGCCATCTGCTCTTTGAGCAGTAGCTGTGAATCCGGGACTCCCCCAAGTTGTACACAGGTCTTGATGGGGAAATCAAGTCCCATCCAAGGCACAGATGTGAAGGTTCCCAACCTAAGAAGCCCAACAGCCACATCCACTTAGTCTTGTAAGCATTGAGCCAAAGTCTCAGTGCTTCTCCAGTCCAGATCCAAACAGTTTCCCAAAAGTGGATCAGTACCTCGACAGATTTCCTTGCAGAATCTGGGGCAGAGATGTAAAGCTGAGGACACCTCCTTCCTCTCTGGCTTTCTAGACTCATACTAATCCGGCTAATAACAAAGATCACCAGGCTGGTTGGGCATCTCTTCATCATGTTCTCTATCTCCACCCTATATCTCTTCTTGCCTGGTGTACCACCCACCCACAGCAAGTGAAGCTAACCAGTCCTGATTATAAGGACTGTAACCGGGATGAAGTGGTGGAGGATTTCCTCAAGAGGATTGAGTGTTACCAGAAAAGTTACCAGCCATTAGATGATGAGTTGGACAGGTAAGGAGGGAATGTCTCTGCTACTATGTTGGGGTGAGGCAGGTACACACAAGGCCGTCTGCGTTGCAGGGCATTTGAATTTGCCGTGGCTTGCAAAACATGGCATCAAAAAGATATCAAGGTTAAAAAGTCCCCACCCACCCCCGGCAAAAAAAAGTTTGCACTGCTCATGATAGCATAAACGGTTTTGGGAAAAACTTTGTGCCTTCCATTAAATAAAACAAGTGGACTGCCAAGAATTTTGTTGCCAGTTCAATTCTGAGTATCCATAATTTCAACAAGAGACCCCTGGATATCCACAAGAAGTTGTTTAAGGGGTGGAGTGGAGAGAAAAAAAGTGGGGAAAGGAAGGCATCTGCTGCTCCTTCACACAATATGCATACACAATTCCAAATATGACAATGCATTTGCTTGTAATCAACATAAATTAAATATATTCTGTAACTGGCACCAGAGTTTAATGGTCAGTTTTATCTTTCATATTTGTGGAAATGGGTAAAATGTATGTTATGTAATGATGGTAGAAACTTCCACACTGCCAGCATCATTTCAACCACCAGATCTGTCACAAAACAGATTACACTCAGAAACAGTCCACAATCACCTTCATGTCTGCCTCTCATGATACACAGAGAACACCATGAGCCAGTTTGGGTACAGTATATCCTTTTTTCTTCCATTAGGTAGGTAATTATGTTACCTAATCCATGTCATATTATCAGAAGAATCTGAGGGATGGAAGACACCTAAATAATTAAACTTGTGTGCCATCATGTTACAAGCTTCATTCCTTTTGTAGGCATGTTGTGGCATCACACACACACACACACACGGAGGGGCATGAGTGGTGTTTTGTCATTTTGACAAAATTGTCAGATTCTGTAAATGAACTGCTTCTGCTCTGAACTACCATCACTTGTACAGTTACAGATGTTCCTTCTCCTCCCAGTCTAAAAAAAAAAGTAAAGTAATTTCCAGTATTTTGCATTTTCCTATTTGTCAGTAGATATGTAAACAAACACCATGAGATCCTCTCAAGGTTATCTGGCCACTACTCCTCTGTCAGGTTTAAAAGTAGCTGTCAGTTATGAAGCTGAAACAATAGCAGGGTTGACATTTTTACAACTAAGCACCTTTTCCAAAACAGCTGTGAGTGTGTTTTGCGTGTTGAAACAGCAACTGAGTTAGCAAGGAAGAGAATAATTAGGTTCTAAACAATGCATACGGGAAAAGGCAGGATTTGGAACAGATTTGGAACTTTCTGTGAAGGGTGGGGAGAAGAAAATCATGGAGAAAGGGTGGGGAAGAGAAAGTACAGAGAGTAAAGAGCTGGGAGGCAAGTTGAGGCATGAGTTTCTACCTGGAACTAAATTAACCTTTTAGAAAAATATAGTGATTCAATTATAAGCATTGCAACAGCTCCAATAAATTGGACCACAGTCAGAAATAAATGATGCAGTTCCTCCAACCAGCCTCGACATGCAATCACTAGAGGCCAGGGGTGAATCTCAAAATGGCATTCTTTCTACTAAGGAATACAAAAAAATCTAAGTACTTTATCTTTTATATTTAACCCACTGATCTTCAAGTGAGTTTTCTAGTAAAACAATATCCATGTTTCCAATTGTTAGTCTGTTAACAAAGATTAGGAAGTTTTTAAGAAGGCTGACATTACTGCAGTGCTTTCTAGCTATCTGATCATCGCACCACAGGCTAGAATTCATCTCTATAATTCTATTTTATTCCTATATCTAGTACTGGTATGTATGAGAGCTGTGGTCTACTGTATATAGTATTCTGAAATTAATCTTTGCTTGTCTAATTTTGTAATGAATATTCTGTCTCCATTCTTAAGCAAAAGATAAAATTTCTATGAGAATATGCTGTAGGAGACATCCTCAAAAAACAAACAAAAAACACCTTAACTCTATGAGGAATGGACCCCATCTTGAATTTCATTCTGGTAATAGTGTCTTTTCCAGTCTAATGCCATGTGACTACATTTCCCAAAATTCTAAGCATTTGGAGATAGGGTTAGGGAAAGCTGTTATAATTTTGGTGAATATTTAATACCAGTACTGAAAATCAGCAGTAAAATATTAGATGTTAGGAATAATCAGGAGCGAATTATGCTGGTTAAAAATGCCACATTTTTGAAAACCAATATTTAAAGAAAAGCAGGCACTAAGAAATGTTGAGTGCTTAATCCATGAGAGTGGTGAATTGGTTACCCCACAAAGCTGTTGCACTACACTCCCAGAAAGCCCGTGATAGATGGTAAAGATGGCGGAGAGTCGTAATTCAAACATCTGGGAAAGTCAGAGTTTTCCCAGACCTTAATATAACTAACAAATGGATTAGCTTCTACAGATCCATCCAAACGAATGGCTCCTCAAATATGACTTGGTTATTCTTCTTACTGTAGTTCCCTGTCCTACATTAAGATCTTCAATGTTGGCAGTCGGTACCTAGTGAATAGGGTCCAGGACCACATACAGAGTCGCACAGTTTATTACCTGATGAATATCCATGTGACACCCCGCTCCATCTATCTCAGTCGGCACGGGGAGAGCGAGCTTAACCTCCGGGGGCGGATTGGGGGTGACTCTGGACTATCTGAGCGTGGCAAGCAGGTATGCTTATCATATTTGTTACACCTTGGTATGTTGTTGCATGTAAGATGTTTCAAGTCAGGCCAAGCAGCATAAAAGCATCAGCAGTTTGATGTAGTGATCAAAGCACCAGGCTAGCACTCACAGAAAGAGCCTGTGTGTTCCATTTCTTCCTTAGGCATATAAAGCCACGTGGGTCAGTCACCCTTTCCCAGTCCTAGGAAGTTGGCAAAAGGAAAATGCTTCTAAAAATCTTACCAAGAAAAATGTAAGGACTAATCCAGGCAATTGCCTGGAGTCAAATAAAGCCAAATAAAGCCAAATAAACTTTATCACAGTCAAAGACCAGAGACCAGAACAAATAAAAACACTCAATGAATATCCAGTTAAAAATTCTAGAAAAAAGTAATAAATAACAGATAAAATCTATATTAAAATCACAATTGCCAAATCCAGTCTGTCAGTTACATATGGTCTAACTATAACAATCCATAAACTGTGAGGCCCATAGTCAAATAAATACTAAAATGCAAAGAAATCGTAATGTAAAAGGGTTTGCCACATTAGTTATGTAAAATCGCTAAGGTGGAAAAATGTTTTTTTCCGATTATTTCTATAAAAGAAGCATCAAAGGAGTATCTGTACAATGGCCTCCACCTCTCCTGAGCCACAGGAGCAAGGAGTCAAATCTGGTTCGAAGGCACACAGAATTCAACAGTATAAAATGTGCTATAGCTAATTTTGTTTGTTAAACCCCACTGAAAATATTCAGGGAGCAGCTACATAGGAATCTTTGGAATAAATATATCCCCAAATGCAAGCACTCGATCTTTTATTGGGTTTACATAAACTGAACCATTAAAATCAACCTAGTTGTAAACCACCATTAACAATTATAAACTGGAGGCTTTCATCTCAAAGCCACCCGATTCCTCACAAATCTAAAGTCCTCTATATCCATGTATCTGTTTTCCATGGAGTTTCTAGAAGTTGCTGTGGCTTTTTAAAGAGAATTATGAAAGATTGCATCTATAAAGGAGACTGGATGTCCTGTATGTTGGCTGCTGTACATTTGATGACAGCTGTGATATTTAAAGGTTATCCTTGTAAGATTTTCCACCCCAGGTGTCCATTGGAAATGCTTAGATCCAGGAGCTCCATATTAAGCTGTAGAAAGTTTGAACATAGGGCTTTTGTGTTCCTACTTTCAAATACAAAGCATGAATTCTTAGAAAAGAAGGGCAGGAGCCAAGTGTCATGTTTCTGGTTTACGACAAATGTGCTGAGTCCCTCAGGTGATTTCATATCTAACTTTTTCCATTTTTTTCCCTCCCTCCCTTTCTTTGTCAGTTTGCCTGTGCCTTGGCCAACTTCATCCGTTCCCAGGATATCAGCGACCTCAAAGTCTGGACAAGCCACATGAAACGCACAATCCAAACAGCAGAAGCATTGCATGTGCCCTATGAACAGTGGAAAGCATTGAATGAGATTGATGCGGTGAGAAGCTATCCTTAACACATCCTGGTTCTTAAATTGCGAGGGTAGCCCTTAGGGTTGCACATTTCTCTCACTCTCGTTTACCGCAAATTGCCTTCTATGACCAAGAGAGAGAGAGGCCTAACTCTCAAGACCAGAGTTCCTTCTTTAGCCTGCGCCTGTGGAAAGCATATGAGGGAAACCTGATCCCTTGCTTCTTCATAAACTTTCTTTCGGCTGACTTTTCTTCTCAGTGTCCAGAGCTCAGGGATTCCAAATCCTGCATTTGTTTCAGGGTGTCTGTGAGGAGATGACTTATGAAGAAATCCAGGCCAGTTTTCCACAAGAGTTTGCCCTGCGAGATCAGGACAAATACCGCTACCGCTATCCTAAAGGAGAAGTAAGAACTGTGCAATCTGGAACACGGGTGGATTTAGGTAGCATGTTACAAAAGGGGGAAATGGGCAAATCTAACATGTTCCCAAGAACAGAGGAAGATGTGAAAAGAAAGTATTATCACTAATCAAAGAAAAATGGCTAAAATTGGGAGTCCCCCTTAAGGTTATAATGAAAAGCAGGTCAAAAATTCTAATCTAACACCAACAGAGAGGCCTCTCCAAATTTCTTCCTTCAGTCCTATGAAGATTTGGTGCAGCGCCTGGAGCCAGTCATCATGGAGCTGGAACGACAAGAGAATGTCCTGGTGATTTGCCACCAAGCTGTCATGCGCTGCCTCCTTGCCTACTTCCTGGACAAAAGTGCAGGTATCAGAGTCCATTTTTTCCACATTGCAAGACTTCTCCCCCTTCCTGATTTAGTCTTCTTAGCTGAGAGCCTGGGAGACTGGTGGTGGCAAAATCCTCTGTGTATGATTCTTCCTGTACATATGACATTTTCTCTTCCCTATTATACTTGCCAGTGGAGGGGAAATTGAGTTTCAACTATTTTTAGTTTGCAAGAGGAGGTGGCATTTACAGACGGGATGGATTGTTCTTATGCACCAGTTCTTCCTTAGACTCTCTGTGTACTTCTGGAGATTACTTTTGTTTCATTTGCCATTCTTCTTTTTCAGAGGAATTGCCATACCTCAGGTGCCCATTGCACACTGTTCTCAAGCTCACCCCAGTGGCATACGGTAAGTCCCTTCCTCCTAGGCAAAGATCCATTTGGGTAGCAAACATGTCAGAAGTCTGCTTTGGGGGAGCATGCAGACAGCAGGGATTAGGCACTGAAGATGAATATATTGTAAAACAAAATATAATATACTCACATTGCTACTTAAAGTAGGGGTGTCAAACTCACGGCCCGCAGGCCAGATGCATCAGGCACAGGCCACGCCCACGCCCAGTTTAGCGAACGGTAAAGAAGCCACGATACGTCACGTGATGACATGACACCGTTGAGTGACACCCCTGACCGAAAGAATGCTTATCTAATGGTGGTTGGGAGTAAATTGTTCTCCAATGCTAATAAGCTTCCTCCCATTTTGTGGCTATGTAGTCACCGATACACTCCTTCAGCGACTTCCTACTGTATGAATACTGCGGAACATGCAGGGAGAAAAAGCAAGAATTGCTGGCCTATACCGTCTTTTCCAATTCATTGATTCTAACATGGTTTGCCATTGCTACTTTCTTGATCTTTTTGACTTCACTGCCCGCTGTAAGCTACAGTCCTAGAACTTTTGGCTGCCCTACTAGACAAATCCAATCCTGCTTAGCTTCTCTAAGATCAGCTAAGTTCAGTTGTGCGTTGCCACCTAGCTGGACTACAGTCATTAAACATCAACCTGAACAAAGCTACACATCTCCTTCTCTTCTATATTCATCTCTGCATGCTACACAACACTGTGTTTCTGTGAACAATCAGCAGCCTATTGGCAACAACCAGCATACTGGAGTTCCAGCCTTTTTAATTCTGCTCAATGAAGAGGAAGAAAACAGGCGGCTCCAAATCAATTATTCATGCCAACCATAGCAAGTCATGACTATTTTCAGAGAAGGGAGTTTGTGCAGGCCTAGCATGTCATCCTGAAGCCGATAAAGCCGCTGGCAGTGAATGAGTGTTTGGAACTCCCATCTACCATCAGTAATTGGGGGTTCATTCTTTTGGGGACAGGCTGCGAGGTGGAATCCATTTTTCTCAATATTGAGGCTGTGAATACACACCGAGAACGCCCCACGGTAAGCAGGATTCCTGTCACGGGAGGTTTTATATGAAAACCTCTGGAAAGAGGCTGTGAAGGAAGCTGTGATTGGCAAAGGGCTTGTATGACCTGAAGCTTTTCAGCCCCATCGTGTATTCCTGGTTATTGACTTGACAGGTACTCCTGTTAAAGATCATTGTATTCAGAGTTGCATCTGTATGTAATATTTTCGTCTTATCTTCACTCCCCGCCCCCAAAACACCCTTAGCATTTTTCCTACAAAGCTAGCCAGGCCCCCTTGTATCGGCACTACCGCACTGTGCCAATGGCTAGCCCTGAGCCCACCAAACAACCCTGCTGGAAAGATCTGGGGCGCTCTCCTCCCTCTTGCCTGTTTGACCCTCAGGTAAAAGAACCCTCTCTTCACCTGACTTCCCTAACCTAATTCTGCCACATCAGACTTTAATCACTGTGCTTTGCCGTGCTATCTCAATGCTTTTACTAACCCGTCCTTGAGAAACTCCTTCGAAGCCCAAAGAAAACGATTTCACGGTGCCCGATTGTTCACAAGAAACTCCTATGCAGATGACAAGAACTAGTCAAATATTCTGCAGTGGGTTTATACTGAAAGAAGTGGTAGAACTACTCTTCTCTGCCCAAGGGCAGAGTTGAGAAACAGAGCCAAGATACACTGGCTACAATTCTAACACTCTGGATACTTGAAATTACTAATATAAATGGATGTACAGTAGATAGGCTTCAGTTCTTCACTGTATTTCCTTTTCGGGTCAAAGTGGTGCTTTAAAGTTTTTCTTTCCTTTGTCTTCTTGCAGAATGTTGATGTGTCACGAGAACCTATGGAAGCCCTACACACCGTGCCAGACCATTATTAAACACTAAAAACAAAAATAAACTTACTTTATTGAAGAGGTTCTATTACTAATATAGATGTGCAGTGCCATCTAGAGAAACATGACTGGAAAGCAAGTTCTATCATTTTATACATGTAGACATATCTCATCCAAAATGTCTATAGAGATCCTCGGTCACCCAGGTCATGGTTGTCCCAAAGGTGTTTTTTTAAGAGGCAACTGGACTTTCTGGTTTTCTTTTGAAGACGTTTCGCTTCTCATCCAAGATGAGACCTCTGACTGGATGGTGGGGAATGGAAGGATTTATACTCCTTGCAGACAGCTGGCCATCCTGTAGTCAGCAATTTTTTCTGGAAATCCGTTCATACTTCTGCACCGTTCCAAGGGCCTTCAAAGAAAAATCAGAAAGCCCAGTTGCCTCTTGGAAAAAGCATCTTTGGGACAACCATGACCTGGATGACTGAGAATCTTCATAGACATTTAGAGATGCACTTTGGAATGAATACCCTTCGAATGGTGCGGGAGTATAAATGGATTTCCAGAAAAACTGCAGACTATAGGATGACCGGCTGTCTGCAAGGAGTATAAATCCTTCCATTCCCCACCATCCAGTCAGAGCTGAAGAAGCTTCTTGGATGCGAAGCGAAATGCCTTCAAAGAAAAACCACAAAGTCCAGTTGCTTCTTGAAAAAATTACCTTTGGGATCTCATCCAAACGCAACTCAAGGTATAGATCTGCCAACCTAAGATGAATAATTGACTCCCATCCATCAAATTCTTTAAACAAAGAATAAACCAACTATAAACTATGTTAAAAAAAACACAGAGCATAAACCTGGCAAGTATAAACACTTTTAAAGCCTCATTTCTTTAGAGATAACTAAATAAGCGCTTACACTATGTTCAGTACAGGATCCAATGGAAACTTTGCCAAGATTATATACCTTATTTTTATTCTGATGAATGAATACAGGAACTCTGCAATATATGTCAACTGAAATGAAGTGGAAATTAAGGCAGAAACTATAGCAAAGAAAAATGATTGCAAAAATATTTTTATTTCCAGTAGATATTCTATCATCTTATTTCCAGAATATACTTTTGCTAATTCTTGAATAATTATAAAGTTTTAGAGAAGAATCTTATCTTCATCACCAATAAAATGGCCCAGTCTATTCTGGAATCTTTCCTTCACAAACAGGGAACTTATTAAGCACAGAGCACTTTATATGAAATGGGGCTCTTGTAATCCTACCAAGAATAGTAACAGAAAGCAGGCAGTGGTTCTAGAAGTTCCGGGAAGGAGTTTTTGACAGTTCCTTATAATTCAACACCACAATATTTATAACTTTCCCATCGCACTAGCTTCTGCTTCCGCTTCATTGTACTGACTCATCCAAGATTTGGGATTCTGATGTTGTATCTAATCAAGGAAAATCAAAGGAGTCCAATTAGGAAAACAGAATAAAAAGATATACCAGATTCTCTGCAAGCTATCACTCTATTAAGGAAAATAGAAATTGTATGGACATGATTTAGGCTGTACAGTTTTCCCTGCCTGCTTATTTTATTTATAACCTTTTCTCAGAGAGCAAAAGGTAGCATATATGGGGGTTCTCTTCTAACTTTACCAACCGAGCAACAATTTTGTGAGCTGGGCAAGGTTGAAAGAGAATAAGATCAAGAAGGAACGCCCAGATCTCCAAGGTCCACATTTTAACTACAGAACTATATTGGCTCTTATCAGAACACTACAGGATCTGTTAACGGTTAGACATTTTAATGCACTAAGACTTGTTTCAAGCAAGCATGACTGCCAAGAAAAAGCTGAGTATATTGAGAAAGGAAAGCTTAGTTGTTAGAGTAGTTAGAAAATTTCCAATTTCCTGCAAAATCCATAACTCCCATCATTCAGTGCTTTGATCCTGTTTCTGATAAAATATTAAGGATTAAAAGGACAGTTCCATGTCAAAATGTACAAATGTACACACCCATTTATTGATCCAACCTGTTTTAGTTCTACAAACTTAGTTATGCTTAATGCAGATACTGAATATTTACTTGTATCCCATCTTTATTATTTTTACAAATAACTCATGGTGGTGAACATATCCAACCCAATTTCCTTCTCCTATTTTCCCTACAACAACCACCCTGTGAAGTAAGTTGGACTGAGAGAGTGACTGATCCAAGGTCAGCCAGCTAACTTTCATGGCTAAGGTAGGATTAGAACTCATAATCTCCCAGCTTAACTATTAAATCAAATGCCATGAAATCCTATCCTTTCCCCTGTCTAGACAGTACCTTAGCAACAAACTGTAGAATCTGCTTCTTGGAAGTCTCTTTAAAAGCCCGTGGTCCCCACCTGAACTCAAACTCAGGAGGATCTTTGTGTGGGAGACGTGTATATTCCAGATATCTAGAAAATGATAATTATGTGATCAGTGAAAAAAAATCTTTGTAAGCACCAAACAGATTATTTAGTAGAATAACTGTGCTTCAGCTCAAAGATATCATTCCTGCCTTTTGGAAGAAAATAATTTGAGATTTCCCATTAGCCTATATCCTAATTAATAATCCTATCCCAATGCCCTTTCTTAAAAGATCCAGATGTTAGCCATTAAAAGACAAGCAAAACATTCTGAATTCCCATCTGCCATTCACTGAAACCAATATGATCAATTTCTAAATATAGCAAAAGCTTTGCAACCCCCAACTCACTTTTGCCTCACAAATTCCTCTGTCACCAACTTTTTCACATCACCAAAGACTTTATGTTTTCCCCTGGAAAAAAAACAGAATGTTATTGTCTCAGATCAGCTGACAAAGGAGATTTTCTTCCCCGATTTATCCAACCACACTGAAATATTTGAATTTATCTCTCAACGCTGTCTCAAAGCAGCCAATATTACCCAGAACAGTCAATATGTAACCTCCTCAGCATTTCCCAAACAGCAGCTGCATGAAGAAAAAAGAGAACAGTAAGCATATTAAGCTATCTAAGAAATAGGGTAAATTAAGTAGGAGTGAAACCTACATTCTTTGATCACGTTGCCTTTCATGAAGATAACACTAAGTATTATTATAAGAAGGCCCATCTTGGGAGTGTTCTCATCACTGCAAAAAAAAGGGAAAAAAAGATTCCGCTTCTTAATCTGGAAGTGAAGACTGGGAATTTGCAGTGTAAAATAAACCTGAATTACCCAATGAGAAACAGAAAATTTAAGCCAAGCTTTTAACATTTCAGTCCAGGAACTAACAAAAGGAAGTCTGTGGACTGCTCAAAGCGTGAGGTAACACAGAGGAACTCCATTTCCCAAAGAATGGAGGATACATGGGTTCTTCTCAAGCATAGAGCCTCCAGCTGAAATCTCACTGGGGGATGTACTTCCCAAAAACGTTTGATGAGGCACTCCATGAAATTTGCTTATTACAATTTGAGACACTTTTCAATATGTCAGAAAGGGAGATTGGTTAAACACATGACTGATAATCATATATTTAATTTAGTACACTTAATTCAATGTATACTTAAATATAAAAATGAAATTTAGATTCTGCCATACCACTCAAAGACTAAGTGGCTCAGAAAATGTTTTTGATCTCTACCTTAGAATTTCAAAATGTAGGAATATAGAAACCATATTAATACTATTGCTCATTTCAAACTGTATGAAGAGATATTTGACATGTTTTGTATAAGATTTTATACAAAATTTAGCCAATACAGACGCACATAAACAAAGGCATTACATTCCCTCTTTTCCTTACTCATTCACAGTATCAGCTTCCAAAGGAGGAAATTTACTGATCAGGATGTAGGAATGGTACTTTGGGTCAATTTCCACAACTCCCAATCCAAATACCTGGGCAAATAGGAAAGATAAATCAGAATAGATCTCCCTTCCTCGTTCGCTATTATTGTCTCTTTTTAAATACGAGAAAACTCATATGCAAACATAACAATTTATATGTTTAATAAATAATTAATAAAATCTATCATTTCCATTAGTTGTATAAGTTATCTTGTTCATGATAAATGTTCAGACTCTAAAGAGTTCAGCCTGAATTAGTATCCCCAACTATAAGCCTAGATTAAAATTTAAAATATAGAAATATAGTATAATACATTTACAATCTACTGACATTTCTCCATTCATTCAGGTTAAGCCAGAAATGCCAGACATTTTGATGACAAGAGCAAATCACTTCCTGAATTATGAAGCTAGATTTCTCATTGCTTATGGTCAATGGAGTATTTTAGTTTTATTATATCCTACAATGATCTTTTCTACATACTCTTGTAGCATCTTGAAAATTGATAAACTAATTGAAATATAAGCTTCCATGGATCATAGTCAATGCAATTGTGAGTCTTTAGGATGAACAGGATTTTTTGGGCTGCAGGATTCCTACTCTGAAAACATTTTTTTATTGCAAAATTTTAAGAATAGCTTACTATTCGCAAAGTAAGATTGATAGATTGATCAAATATGCTCAAATCACCAATGGATTCCTCACCTGTTGAAGAGTCTGGTTGGCTCGTCTGAGGATTTCAGGAAAGAGATCTTTGTAGTCTTTGATGACATATTTCAGAATATCTGTAAAAAGACAAATAATGTTGATCTATCAGTTCCTAGGGAATTGGAATGAGAAGAGACTGATCTCATCTCTGGGGTTTCATGGGCTTCTAGTTGGCAACTGGAATTTTGGACTAGATGCACTTTCTTATGTTCTTTTGATGAACGCTACTTATACATACAACATTCTATGTAATGTTAGACCTACTCAAAGTAAACACAAATAACAATGGAGTTTATGGCATACATTCTTGACAGAAACTTTTAAAAAGCAAATAATTTCTAGTTGAATATTCATAAAGTAGATGTTCTTCACTTAGCATCACTAATTGTCATATATTTACTATCCTGCTCAGTGGCTCTCAAAAGACCTTTCCAAAAAAAAATTGCATTAAAGTTGGGGGAAAGAGGCTCACCAAAATAATAAAAATCCTCCCATTCTTTGAAGCATTCAATCTTAGAACAGAAATTACTGAAAACAGAGCACATGCAGATATCCGTATTCCAGCCCTGTAAACTGAAACTAAGCCCCCCTGATGAAATAAAATAAAAATAAATCCATGCTTACCTGTCCGTTTAATAGGAATTTTCTTCTGATCTTTGATCAGAAGGAATTGCACCAGTTCATTTACCTACAGAGAGAATATAATATACGTTGCAGGCAGACCTGTGCATGTGGTATAATTCCATGAGTACAGTACTAAGTTTCCTATATATATTATCGTCAAGGTTGTGGGGCATGCTTCAGTGTCCCTAGCCATTCTGTAACTTTAAAAAAAATCTCTAGGTCAAGAAAGCTGCTACAATGTAGATAACAGTTACAGATAATAAAATGTGTACTTATTTTAAAATAGAGGATGCATAATATTTGGTTATAGCCAGTCATAACATTAGAAGCCCTCAAAAATGCATAAAAAGTGACTAACTTTTTGTTCCACTTCAGGCAGAGAGTGTTGCTCCAAACTACGTTGCGCCTGACTTAGCGTCTGAGTCTGACTGAAAGAAAATTCTTCATCAACTTCCATATGCCGTACCTGGACAAAAGCAAATGAAAGATTTGTTTTGTTATTGGGCCTTTGCATTTCCATTATTAAATCTATGTTTCTATGCATATTTTCCTGCAAATAAATCTCATGGAAAACAGTAGAATTTACTTCTAGATAAATATGCACAAGACAGCACTGAAGTAGACTGTTTTCGCAAAGGGAGACTTAAAATAATAATAAGATATAAAATAGTAAACAGACCAGTCTGTACTAAACACTATGCCAGATTTGCCAAGAACTTCCTTCAGAAGCTCATTCAAGCAACACTGCACCGTTTGTCTTGCTGCATGAAAAAAATGGCAAACAACAACAACATGAATTTGTTATATTTCCCCATTTTCATTTGATACAGGCACAGGCACCTCAGACCACAGATTCCTATCGCAACATGTGAAAAAAGGCATGGCTGTTTATATCAATAAAATAAGGGTTTAAGAACATTCATGCAATTCAAGGTGTCACAATTATTTTGTACTAATCACATCTGAGTATGGGAAAGATGACACTAAAATTTGCTATTTTTGAAACATTACATTATGTCTCCTGTTCCCTTTTCTAACAATTAAAAAAAATATGTATGTTTTTTACATCACCTACTCTGAACCTTAGTTATAAGCTAGCCTTCCCCAACAAGTGTACTCTACACTTACTGGCATACCTTTGAAGAGCCAGATCCTCTGCTGCTGCTGCCGCCGCCACTATGCCTGTGCTGAGACATGGCTTTGGAAAGAGATCTAAATGGAACAGGAAAATAAAATTATTACAGCTCATATCCAGCCTCTGAAGGTGCAGCAAAAGTCCTTAACTTTTGCCACATGTCTATATACAGGTGACCAGCGAGTAGCCTTTTCTATCTGTAAATAAATAGAAGGTTTCCAAGATCCTAAACTAGTAGATCTTCCCCTCTCTAGTTCCTCAAGAAGGTCTCTTCCCAGTATCCAACACTTGGACTCCAACAAGTTTATTCTGGTGGGAAAACCCAGCACTGGATTACATTTCTGCCCAGGGACAGTTCAGTGCCAACCCAAATAGTCCCCATATTCTCGTGGCTCCCGTATTCCCAGCTTTTAGGTGTCTTTCGCCTTTAGCCGACACATAGCAGGTAGGAATACAAAAGATACTGCTATAAAGTGCCACTCTGATCTTCCAACCCAGAAAGACAACTTGGTTCTGCTCGCATTAGCAACACCTCCAGGGACGAAGGTTAATTGTCAACACTTACTCAGTCCGCCTTTTTCCTCTTGTTAGAAAAGCCACTAGACTCGGTTCCGTCCGCGGCCACACTGCACATGCGCCCCTCTTTCCGTCCGGCCGGTAGAACTTTGCTACGGCGCACGCGCGTCACTGTGATTCCCTGCCTCTATTTGCTGAGTCTCCTTCTTGAGCGTCGCTTAGCAACGCTGACGGGTAAAGCGAGCGTTGTTCGGGACGTCCTTCTCCAATGAGGGAGGGGTTGCGGGGGGCTGCTTGTAGAGGAGGGAGGCCATCGGAGCTGCCAAACTCCGGAGATAGCAGCAAAGAGAAGGTCCTATTTCTTCCAATCATCGGAGATATTAGGGCATCTTAGAGGTCTTTATTCTAGCAGGAACACCGAGTGGATTTCAAGAAATTCATCAGATCCATTGAGCATTGTTTCAGTTATACCCCCAGCACCATGATCAGGAATAATGGGAGATGCTGTGCAAATGATAAATGGAAAAGAATCATGGTTTATTTTCCATAGAAAAAGCACTAGCTTCTCATAGCCATTACCTCATGAAATTGACAACTTGTTGCAAATAGTTGCATTTAAATAAAAATAAAAATAAACTGCAACCTTAACATGTGGTATATGTCAGCAAGCTTAAAAATCCCATAGTTGAAAAAAAATCAATCAGCCTATCACAAAACTCTGGCATGCTCTTAAAAAAAAGAACATAAAGTAAAACTTGACTTTGACTGATTTTCATTTTTGTATACTTGAACACAAAATTTTAAAATACCATGTCCTAGAATCGATATTATTCTTCTACCGCAGCAGTGTCCTGGAACATGGACCAAATTCTCTTCATTTAAGCAAGGCTTTCTTTTACTAAGGAAAGTCTGAGTTTTATGAATACTTTTGGCTTGTAACTGTCCTGCTAACCTATTGCTAAATTGCTAAGTTGCGAATAGTGCAGAAATTGCTATTGTGGCTGGAGATAACTTTCAAGCAATTCTTCAACTTGTCAGGCCCACAAGTACTAAATACCATACATTTTGAAATCAAATGTCCAGGTTCTGATCTTCCTCTGAAACTTTCCACTGCATTTAAATGTTAAACATTTATGGTACCATGCTCACTCTTGAATTAATTCACCGTCCCTCAGATCTCACATTAGGAATGATAAGCAGAACATGTACTTATCCAAATTTCAGTCACAGATTCCCACAACGGTTTCTACCTCTCTGACTTTATTTGCCATCATGCCAAGTGTTTCAGGCAGTGGGGGAAATGATACTAAATCAACAGGGATGTCTGAATACAAAAATGGAAAGTCAGGCCTGATGTCTGGCATGATTTTGAAATATGGCAAAAACTCTTTTATCCGATATGAAAGAAGTAGTAGGCAGTAATTAGAGCAAACTGTGAAGATGAAGTTTCCCATTTAAACAGGGTTTTTGGCATCACCTGGTATGAGCTAGAAACGACTGGTTTTTATGTTGTTTTTATGAGTCTTGATACTGTTCAACTATTAGATTTCTGCACATCTTTAAAAAGTACTGTGGCAGTTCCTAGTAACTACACAGAAACAGACCTTGGTGGACTGTGATGTGGTTTTCATTTAAAAACCTCAGGCTATAATGTGTTGTATATTAAGATTGAAGGGAAACATTTGTTCTCACTATCTTTGGCATCTCTGTGGCTCAGTGAAACTTCTGGGACTTAACAAGATGTTATGGTCTACCTAGTCCTACTTGGTTTCCAGGGCCAGCATTTGCAGAACAGTGAAGGTTGTGGCCTTTGGCAGAAAGATTAGAAACTAGTGAGTCTCTGAAAAAATAAATAAATGAAAGAAGTCACTGTTTGAGGTGTGGAAACCAAAACAGTTTAAAGGAAACGGCAGTTTAATAAACCAACCAATCAGCTTTAAAAGGGTAATAATTGCTCCACAGTATCGGGCAGATAAAATCAGTTGCTTTATTTACTTTTCATTCTAAACCCAATCACTTTTAAGCAGACGGATTTTTTCTTCTGTTGTTCTGTTCCTGCTTTTTAATCCCATTTTGACAGTTAACTGTTTATGATGTTTGCTTATGTTTAAGAAATAAGCAGTAAGCTATATTTTTGCTAACTGAACTGAGTGGCATGCATGCTTACTCTAAACTGGATACATGAATTCACTGGAAGCATGCTGAGTGCAAACTAAATTGAATAATACTCAGTTGTTTTTGAGAGCAAATACATATCCAGAAAATATTGAAGTTGCACAAAAAGATACACATGCAGCAAATACAGAATGCCAGTGTAGGCAGAATGAATATTGGAGGGAATATCTCTCAAAGTGCCACACCCTTAATATGAAAAGATACAGAAACCAATCAGGCATGGTTGTACAACTGTCATTGCACAAGTAAATAATAGTCCTTTATTAGAAGGGATAAAAGTTTGCTAATCCTGCCTCCATGGGGTAACTTATGTACCATTGTTTTTTTCTAGTGGAAGACAAATACAATCAAGGCATTATGATCTTCTAGTTCAATTGTTCACACAAACAAGTGGTACTGTTGAAGGAAAAATCCAGATCCAGTTCCAAGCCGGGAATAAAATGGAAGCTGCATAAGAAAGGTTTACTGATGAGCTGAACTAACAACAGCATGCATTTCTGGGACAACTGACCCCTTGGCTTAGGAATGGATTGATTTTTATAGAGTTCTGAGATGGTCTAGGGGGTTGTACAATGTAGTGAGCCTTGCGTCTTTCGCTATTCTAATGATGGTGGGTTAATCCTTTTATGTCCTAAAGGTCATGTCCTGTTCTTAGAATTTGGATGCGGGCTGTAAATTCTTAATCCCATCAGCTGGAGATGAAGGTGTTTTGTTTCTGAATGAAGATGTTTTGTTTGCTGGGACTGCTTTCTGCCTTTTAAAGATTTTTCTCCATTTCTCCTTTGGGGAAATATAATATTCTGCTTCTTTTAATATCCCCCAAAATAGTTCATTCTAGGGTGGGGGGGATTTCCACAGTACCTTTTCTTTCTTTTTCTTGACTCCTAGGGACTGCTTAAACAGATCCATTCATTTTCATGGCAATGGTTTTTGGAAGTGGACTGCCATTGCATCCTAGGGCTGAGAAAGAGTGATTGATCCCAAATCACCCAACTAGCTTGATGTCTAAGGCAGACCTAGAACTCATAGCCTCCTGGTTTCCAGCCTAGTATCTTTAATTATCGCATCACATTTGATTGATTGTTGTATGTGTGCCATCAATTTGGTGTTGACAATCACACAGATTTTTCTTCAGGAGGATCTGTTTCCAGTCTTGTCCTTCTAGTCTTCCAATAGTGCATGCACCCTTTGCAACTACAACTGAATCCATCTACTATGCTACTGATCATCCTCTTCCCATTCCTTCCAGCATTATAGATTTCTTCAGAGATGTAGGTCTTCACATAATGTGTATGAAGTAGGATAATTTGGCATCATTTTAGGTAGCCCTAAAACAGTGAAAGAAGGTTATGATCTACCACTGAAATTTACATGATT